AGCAGCTGTATTAAGAAGTCAAATAGTACATCTAAATAAATAAAAGAAAACAAATTGCGAGTTACTGATTTGATCATTATTTTGAGCACTAAGCATTTTTTTCTCAGATGACTGTCATACCGCTAAAAAAAATAAACTCTAGTATTAGAAACATAAGCAATAAAAACAAAAAAGGAAGCTTCAGAAGACAAGAACAAAAAAAAAAAAAAACAACACGTACTGGTAGCTTTGTATACTAAAAGAAAAGACACGAAAGAAAAGAAGAATGCAAGTTATTAAAACAAAAAAATACGAGTAATTAAGCAGCAAAGGTTTTTTTCTAGAAACCAAAAAATGTTTAATCTTTTGTTGCGGAAAAAAAAAACTGTTTGCGAAGTTGCTAGAAAAAAGAATACAATTTAAATTTATGAAAAAAAGCTGAAAACAAACTACTGAAAAGACAAAGTATCAGATAAATCAAAAGTAATACAGCAACCAACACAACTGTTATTACACGGAAGTTGAAATTCAAATTCTCGGTCAAAACGAAAAGCAGTAGTTTTCAAATTCATCTTAAGACTAAACTTGGCTCTTTTTTTGTTTCAGTTTGTCGTCTTAATGTGCTTACAAATTGTATATTATGCAAGAAAAAAAAAACGAACAAAACTACATTAATATCCAACTAAAAAAGTGCAAAATTTCACTGCTTAAAGTCAACGCTTATAAATAAGCTAAACTTAAGTAATGCAGAAAACAAATGATAAATTTCCTTTATTAACAAAAAAAATAACAGATAAAGTATTCAAAATTTGGTCGAGAACACTGTCACTGAAAGTCAAAAAAACAAGGCTTTGAAGAAAGTTTGAAGGAATAATCCCAAGTAGTCCTGAAACCAAAACCCTAATTTCAGAGCAGTCATGACTTCATCTAAAAACCTGCACTTAACACAGAAATAACTATTAGAGTGATAAAAACTTGAAAACCAAAAAAAAACAAAATGAGTTTTAAGAACAATAAAAGAGATTAGTGCAGATTAAAAGTTGAAAAATAGGTACTTTAAACAAAAAAAAAATTAAGAAACAGAATGTTTTTTCTCCGTCTTCTCTTAATTTATCAGTTCAAAGAGGACTTGAAAGTTGCCTAAAATGGCCATAATTACCTAAACTGCGCCTACCCTCTGCCGAACAGCTTGTAAATAGGTACAAACACTATTTTTTATTAACATTTCTTTCGAATAGCATTGTCTTTCCGGAATCCAAACTTTAGGCTGTAACCATCCATCAAACTAGCTATTTTATTTCAACAGTTCCAGGCAACAAACCGATAATACAATTATACAGAAGGAAAACTTTTTCATGACGATTTCTAAAAAATTAATTGTCAAAATAGCCTTCACAGCTATTCCAGTAGAATAATAACTAAAATTACGCCTGGTACGCCAAGTATCAACATAGAAAAAATTAGAAATTATTTACAACTAGAGCAATCACCGGTGCCTTCAGCAGTCAGCAAAAAAATCACTCCACGTCATGGCTTCTATAGTACTTGTTACAATTATGCAAAAGCTAACAACCTTTAATACTTTCGCCTTCTGTCACTGTTGCTAGTTTACCAATAATATTCGCTCAGAAAACTATTGATTCTCTCTGCTCTAAATTACAGAGAAACCGAGAAAAAAAGGGGAAAAACTATTGCTCTAAATTACAGAGAAACCGAGAAAAAAAGGGGAAAAACTATTGCATGACGCTTTCTGAAACCTTAATTATCAAAATAACCTTTATAGCTATTTTGAAGAAATAACAATTAAAAAAGACCGTAAGACTCTGGAAAAACACTTCTCCTTTGGCTCACGTCTGCTCTTTGGTAATATTATTGCTTTCTAGTGAAACTTTATTACGTTTAAATAACTTGATACAGAGTACACTCTGAAAAGAACAAACCTCATTTTTGCCAAACTTTTCAGCACACTCTGTTAATAAATCTTTTTGCTGCATTAGCCAATGCTAGCATACTTAATAATATCAATAAATAACAAATTCCAAAAGATCTTCGGTTACAAAATTATTAAACTTTCAAATTAGGTTATTACGACACGAAGCAAACAGACTGGCAGAAGAAACCAAAAAGTTCAAGTATGCAGTGACCTAAGGCTACCATCTACTGCTTTACTTATGGCACTTGAGAGGATTTTACAATAAAGAACACTGACCTCTATAAATAATCTATTCAGATAGTTTTTGTTCTTTTATTCAAATTTACAATTGAAAAACAGTAGCGCCGAGTGTTTAAAGGTAGCCTAAGTTCTGACAGGATAGACTAGAATTCCAGACTTACTGCATTACAAAGCGAGGTATAAACTAATTCGATATGCGACATTTTAACTACCTTATGACAAGGTAATAAACCAATAAATCGTTCTTTCGTTATAAAATGCTAGTACGGAAAGCTCGTTCTGCGACGCGGATAAACTAGGAAAAAAAAAGCCACTTCAGTGATCTGCTTCTAAAGAACATCTTCAAGTCTATTTTTACAAAAAATGGTTAGACAATCCAGTACCAATGCAGACAGAAATTGACTAAAAATCAATCAAACGGTTTTTCCCGGTGAAGAGTATATTATTTACACAACTTCACCAAGCAAAAACAACTCGAATGAAATTTAGAAACCGACGTAATTTTAGGTCCTAAGCTTCACATTAAACGGCTAAAAGACCTAATGAGAATCTTAACAGTATAGGCTGGCCATCAGTCCGGCAGTTTATGCCCGGTGAAGATTACTGATACTGCTTCAACAGAGCAAAACAACCCGACCAACAGAATCAGGAAAACATCAATATAACAATGTATAGTACCTCCACACCATTCGTAATGTAGAAGATTGATCAAAATTATTGCCTATAATCTGAATTTATATTCTGACATCCTTGCGAGAGAACGTTCTGATCGTAAAGTGTTGACCATTTAATCACATATAATTATCTATATTAAATGGGCAGTACAAATAAAAATTTCTGTTCGACCCTCTTTATGATTAATTTTGTGAAGTTTCTGCGTAAAAGGCGAAAAATTCCGAGCAGAAATCTTATGCCATATCATAGATATGTCGCCTAATGACTGTCAACTTTGGTTATTAAAAATACTTTCTTTTGTGCCACTGTACTTTGAAACCTTTCATTGATTTGTATAAGTTTCTTTTAGCGTGACAATTACGCCAAAGACTTACTGGTTAAACCAAAAGTTTATGTTTTATTGCAGTTCCAAGGTGTTAAGCATTTGTTGGCGTTATTAACGGTATCAGAAAAGTACCCTTGAAAACTGATAGAGTAATGACAACAAAGAAAGCAGCATTTTGTTAAATTAATTATGGCCATCGTTTTTGATTGAACAGGTAACTTCGAGAACTCAAAGATACTGCTATAAAACTAAAAGAGTAACTTTCGTTTGTCTCAGACCGCTGTTTGTGAATGACATTGTTCAGTTACTTTTGCAATACTTAAATTTTGAAAATTTACATTTATTCGTAAGGTCAGAGCCGTAAATCAAATTCATTATGTGGTTATTTCTCACCTCGCAGATGAGTTATATCGTCACAGAGCAGTGTATTTTTGTGCGATGTGTATAAGCGCTCATTTTGCGAATTTCAATCAGAAAACCGTTATCTAGATGCCCTATTATTAGCACGATCTATAGCCTAAACCTGCTTGCCAGAGTCGTTGCGGGAACTCTGGATAACATCTTTATCCGTCCCGTAGAAGGCTGAGGAAAGAGGTAAAGAACGCAAAGCGTGGGACCTCACACATTGTTTATATGGTTGATTCGGTGAGGCAGAGAAGAACAAGAAAAGACGATGACTCAAAAACAAAAAATTTAAGTAAAATTTCTTCCTGATTAAGTTTGAAATTTACTGCTATGAGGAAAAATGCAGCGTCAGCTTAGCTTGCTGGCCGGATCGCGCTAGTTAGGTGTAGTCAGAAGGATAGAATACTGGTATAAAAAGTAAAATAATGAGAAAAGAGATTCAATCAGTTCACGTCTGTGAGGTCCGGTCAGCGAAGTGCTGTCTAAGTGTTCTGGCTCTGTCTTTCGTCGCAATTTAAGCTGCAGCATATGCTTATTTATGTATATCATTCCTGTATTATCATTTTTCACTATAACGAACACAACAAACACTTGCCGTTAAATGTGAGTTCCTGGTCGTTAATGCCGTTCTACAGCGCTTTAGTTTCTGAACTTAAGTCTTTGCCAGCTTCTTAATTTTACATGTCACCTGCAGTACCGTGTGAGATTTCAAAGGTTTTCGCGTTGTATGTTCCACGGCTTAATGCTGGCGATGCTCTTTGCAATACCTCACCGCTTTTGCGCCATTTTGCACCTTTGAGCAAAAAAGATGTACGGCACTTAAAGTAAGGTGATACCGTTCAACAACTGAAACCAGTTTGATGATAGTGGATCTTTTCATCAAGTGGTTAAGAGCTATCGATGAAACTGCAAAAACGTTATATCAAAACACTGCATTTATTTAAATTATTAAATACCAATAGCGGTTGACGTTTTTTTTTTAATCGAACAACCAAGTTGGTCAAAAACCGCTTTTTAGTTTTAAAAAACAGTCATACTGTTACTTTATTTAGAAAAGTATAATAGATGCATTCAGCAAGTTGCTGTGACCAAAAGAAAAGTATCGGCAGATCAATAAGGGATCAATATGACACGAGAATAACAAACAGAATAAATATAGGAGCAGAACCTCGATCATTTGGTTCCAAGCAATTTTTGATGTCATGTTGTCTACTCGTCGTGTGCATCCGCTGCAAATGAAGCAGTTGTTAGTGAGAGAGGATTATAGTTACTGTTATAGGGAGTAACGTTTATGAAAGGTTTCCAATAATAGAACTTTTTTCTTTTATTTTAAAGAAGAAATACCTTTTGCAGAGATTTTGCTTTAACGTAGAAAAAATTTTACAACAGAGTCTGCTGCTATTAAATTGTAATACAAATAAAACTTCTTTTTTTTCAACCTCACTATACTATCGCTGGCACTTGTAATAGCGAATTAGTGTTTCCAAAACTCTTTTGTACACGTTTTCTCTTGAGAACTCGAGGGTGGCTTTACGACTCATAATTTATTAAAAATTACTGTTCCATCCATTTAATTGAGCTAAATATTACTTTATTTGCTTTTTTTGCTGAATCAGAAATTAGTTCAACGTCTGTTTGCTGTGTCAGTTGTGCTGAACCTTTAAAACTATAAAGGACTCAGTTTTCCAGTAAGAAAATTTAAAAGTCTAAGTAGCAATCTTTTTAGAGAAAAGCTATAAGAAGCGGAGTAACAAAACCTGGAAAGAAAAATAACCAATTTTTCTCATCTTGTGCATTAGACCTTTTTAAAGTATTTTGCATCGTTGACATACAGTTAAATCTGTTATAATTTTACCTTAACACTATGAGATTGTTCTGTAAAAGTTCTGTAAAAGTAACTGAAGTTTTTTTTGTAGTATAAAAAAGCTTTCCAGCAACGTAGCAGCGTCCAGGGCAACAGTATCAGCGAAAATAACGTCACCGCAACAACTACAAAGCAGCAAAAAAACAAGGCAATTTTTTTCTCCCGTTGTTTATGCCGTTATCATTTTATTGCCCCGTGTTGTTAGCAAATTTGAAGGCAACAATTGTAAAAATTCCATAGCACCAAAACAATTTGCTTTCGGTTTAATTTCAAAAGTTTTGGTTATAGGTTAAAACGTTCCTGCTTAGTCATTTTTTTCCTAAAACTAACACAGCTGGTGACAACAGCAGAAACCCTAGTGAAAAAGGCTATTGTGAAGTGCAGTAAAAAAAAAAATTTCTTGACCTTGTTGTCTCATAACTGTTCAGATGGTATGGTAAAAGCAGAATTTTAGAGCAGAGGGGAGGAGAAAAAAACAAGAATAAAATAATAAAATTTGGAAAATGAAAGTCTCATATAAGACATTTAGTGATTTGCTATACATCATACCGGTACAATAATTTTGAGTACACTGCTGATAGACGGCTTCAGTACCCGTTCTTTCGTATTCACAACCAAACCACCCGCTTTGTAACCCGCATTTTTCAAACAGTTTTCTGTAGCAATTGGCAGCATTCATTTGATGCCTAAAAACGATATGAGTGAACACGCGTGCATAATTCTTTTTCACCCTACATTCGAAATCCATACCTTCTTCTCTTATTCATGAAATTTGTTCTTCTGGATTATAATCAGTAGTATCCACAAAATTTGCCTTTTTTTCTGTTCTTTTTTTCCTTGTCAAGTAATAATGTTTTTTTTTGCAAAGCTTCTTGACAATCTGTCGTATTGATTTGTCAGCAAACGAAAAGAAAGATTTGCTTTTATCGTTTTCAAGTTGAAAAAAGTTGTTTGTCTTTATCACTTTTTTTTCTTTCTTTATGAGGGCAAAAAATTCCTCTACCACAATAAAGTCATGTAACAGCGTCATTTCATGAAACAGTGACAAAGGCAAGGTACCTGATGATTAGGCATACTAATAGATCAATGATCTAATGAAAAGAAGCGTTAAATAAATAAAAGATAAACTGAAAAAAAGGTACAAGATTATATAAAATAATATTAATAAGAAATCAACTGACACACAAATGTTGACTTCGTCCTTGTACATATTATAGTCGAAGATATCTTGGCAAAACTCTAAGTCGGCGGTGTTGTTGATGAATACCTGACTCATGCATTCATCACGTTCAGCAAATACTGTAACCATTTAACATTATCAGTGACAATTACTTTTCAATTTTAAAAAGTATAGAATGTAAAATAAGCAAGTAAAACCTAAAAAAGAAAAGCAAAAAAAATTTTTTTTAAATTTGCTAAATAGCGTAACTGCAGATATGAACCAAAATATGCCATCTAAACAAGCAAAAGCTACCAGTTCTAAAGCTATTTTCATTGTGTTGCAACTGTAAAATCATTTTAAAATCGAGAAACTGAAGCGTTATTTTTATGAACTCTAAACCAAATCAAAAATTTGCTTACTTTATCAAGTCTGTGAAATGCTTTTTTGATGGAAATCCCTTCTTACACTTAGCAATATTTAAATAAAAAATTGGTAGAATTATTACTTCCTAAACCGGCACCACAAGCAAAGTCGAATTGTGCAATAATTTTCACGTATCCGCGAGCTTGATTCAAGGTATACTCCTTTCGTTGTTTAAAATTTTGATCTACCAACAATCCCAGAGGTTGTTCTGTACAAGCTTGATATGCTTTAAATTCTTCTGCTCCTGATGACGTTGAGAAACATTGTTTAAACTGCTCAAAAGCCCTAAATATTCTTCTCAGTTTAATTCTTCTAAAAGCAGCTAAAAGTTGTTCAACTTTTCTTGGCAACAAAACATATTGCCTAAACAATCTTTTTATCAACTGCTCAAAGTTTGTAGCAAATATCAGACTGTTCAACATTTTCAGTGTGCTAAGAAGTCTTCAGTAAAAAGTTTAAAAAATGAGAAGTATACAACAATCCACTTGCATGCAGCTTAATCGTAATCCATAAAGTTTGCCATCTCCATACATTTTTTCCACTGCCTTTCTAACATTTTTATAGTCGTACCACTTCAAGTTTTCTGTAAAAATTTATTTTTTTATAGATCTATTAGCAGTATGATTGAGCTTAAAAAATAAGTAAAAAAAATTACAGCACCAGTACTGAAGTGAACAATAAAATTCTTGTGACACTGTTCCAATTTCGTTATATTACATGATACAAAATTCTGGGCGTTGGATGAGTAGACTGTAATGGAGACATTTTAAAAAAATTTTTCTGCAAAAGAGGAAATTATGTAAAAAATATTTTGAAAGTTATTTTTTCTATTTTTTAATTACAGTTTTGCTGTAAGCAGTAAAACAGCAGCAAGCAAATTTGTTGCAGCCAACTTAAGTAATCACTTGATACAATTTGTTTTTTGTTAATAACTTGAATTATTAAATAAATCTTTATATAGTTGAAAGAAAAAATGAAAATTAATTGTTTAAGTTATTAAAACAAAAAAAAAGAAAAAAAACAAAATTTTATAGAAAAATAAATATCAAACAAAAAGAAAAAAAAAGTAAGTTTTATTACCTAATGCAAAAAAAATGAGAACTGCGATGAGCATTATTCTAAAGCTGGAAGGACAGTGCTCAAACAATTATGCACCTATGGTATATGAAACTGATATATTTTATTAGAGAAGGTAATAAAAATTGTTCATTTATTATACTTTTATACTGCAAAAAAAAAAAATTAACTTTATTACACTCAATTTTCATGGTCTCCTCCCAAATAACTTTCGGGTTTTTTGCCTGATTGATAAACGCAATGTGTGATTACCATTCAACAGTTTATTGCTCACCAGTTGAATGCTAAATTCAGCTAAAGTCTTCGTAAGCATTCTGAGCTCGATGAAATAACCTTAAAAGCTAAGCTTATCTTTACTGGACATTCAGTGTACTCTTTCATTACTCTGCCAAATCACTGTTAAACGTCTAAGTTGTCGAGATCAATGTAAAAAAACCTTTTCTTTTCTCTTTTTCACTAAGCGATACTTCCTTTTTAGGTGAGCTCAAAAATTTACTCTTATTAATGTTCTTCTTCTTTCTTTTACATTTAAATGATATGTTCTACAACGTACTTTGTATTTTGCACAATAACCAAAAGTGTCTGCTAAAATTTCTTTTACTAAATGCCTAGAAAATTTTTCTTAAAAATTTTCTCTTTTTGTTTGTCATTTTTTTTTTGGCAAGTCATTAGTATTTAACAAGACTTTTACTAGAACATAATAGCTTATTTCAAGTCAAGAAAGCTGTGTAAATACACAAATAAAAGTTGGTAGTGCGAAAATTTAAACCTTTTATATGTCTAAAACTACAGTTTTCTCGTTCTTCCAAAATTCGTTCACCTTTCCTCAAATTCTCAAAGTCTGCATTGGTTCACTGCAAATAAAAAAAGTTTTTGTTGTTTAATTTATTCAGATTTAAGATGTTTAATTGTCATTGATAAAATAAAAAAAAGAAACATTTTTTTTTCATTTTTATTTTTTTCTATAAAGTCAAAATCATAAATTTATTACTGATATTGTTCTGGTAGCTGAATCTATCATTGACTGAGCATTTAAACCTATTCATCTTTTGTGCTGAACACAGTCATAATCAATACTGTTTTTTTTTCTTGGTTAACTGTCTGAGCAATGCATCAAAAAGTTGATAAGTTAAAATGATTTTAGAAAAAAAAAAGTTTTTTTTACCTATGAATAAATATTTTTAGTTGGTAATAAAAATTGTTGCATCATTGTAAAAAAAAATTAACAAAAACAAAATTTAAAAGTACAAAAACCTTAATGTTGTAAAATTAATTCAAACTATATTGCAGATAACCAACACTGATTATACATCATTATAAGATGCGTGATTATGAACTTATAGATTAGGATAAGGTAAAGATTACAGGTTTTTGTGACATTTCTGAGCTTATAAAATGAAAAATCAAATTTCAGTACACTGTAACATAGATCATTCAAAACAAAAAAAAATAGTTTCTGTTTGAAGATTTTAACGAAAAATTTGACAGCTTTTGGCTTACCTCTTTTTCAAATACTCTATCTAATTTTATTGGCAGTTATAAACTATCAAACCTTATTTACACTTCTCTTTTTATCTTTTTTTCACTTTATAAAACTGTATAATTTAATAAGAGAAAAACACTTTTAGCTAAAGAAAAGAAAGACAAAAAATATGTTTTACAGTTTCAGCTATTTCTCAGATATATGAATAAAAAAGTGTAAATATAGAAGAAATTTACAGTTTCTAAAACGCTGATCGTATTAGCGGTTCTCAAACATATGTTCCTGAACTTTTACCTTGGAATTTCCTGCCTGCAAAATTTATAACAAAACTATCGCATAATTTATCTATGAACAAAATTATTTCTATTTGGGATATTTTGCAATTTTTAGCTTTAAAAGCAAATCTTTATTAGCCAAAATGGTACCACTTCAACATTTCAACGAAGAGCTTATGCTTTTTTAAATTGTTCAAAATCGCTATTTTATAACTGAAAAAAAGGATTTTTATTCTCACTCAAGTTGTCCCCTGCAGTCTACCGCCTTCAACAAAAATGGATTAGTTGCCGCTAAAATCTAGCAGTTTATTCTAAGATTCTAACTACATCGGTCATGGACAGCAGCATTTCCGAAGTCAAGCTTTGCCCCTTTATTGCTGTTTTTCCGTCAAAGTTACAGATTCAGCAGTAGAAAATGTCAATGCATTGACTCTGTTGATTCAAAAGTAACGGTTCGTATCAAACTTACAGCAGTAAACTAAACCATCCTCCACAACAACGTTTTGATAAATCTGCAGAACGAATTAAGTGATAAAGTAGCAAGAAAATTGTAACTGTTATGCAAAATTACATGTTAGACAGGAATTCAGTTTGTAAAAGTCAACAGGAATGGCTTTAATTAATCTTTTGTAATGTCAAAGTGGGAAGAAAATTAAGCAAGTGGCAACTCAGATGAGTAAAAAGACTGTTGCCAAGAAACTGCTACGAGGTTACGAAACTATTCTTATACGCAATTTATGATACTCAAAAATTCTTTAAATACTGTACAGTTGACTAGAATTTACAATTTCTAAATTCATTAAAGGCATTAAAAGTTTCTTCCTCTCTACTATTATGGGGAAACAAATGAAAACTTTACTTTTTGTTGTGTTATAAAAGCTATAAGGAAGAAAAAGTACCGCAGCTAAAAGTTTTAATTAGTTTACCAGATCACATTTTGAGCCGCCTCGTCTGCAGACATACCGATTCATTTGAATGCGGTGACAGTTAATCTAAGACTGCCGCTTGAACTAAACTTTCCGCTCGTAAAACGATCAAAAGTTTGCCTTCACACCTTATTGCACCTCTAAGTCCTCGTAAAAAAAGCAAGTGGTTAATATAACAAATCAAATGGCCATGGACTTAATTCTATGTAAAATTACGACTCTTAAACAAAACCGTAAGGAATTCGAATTTTGAATGATAACATCTAACACTAAGTTAATGTCAAATATATTTTTAAAAAATCAAAGTATTGAAAAATTTTTACAAAATATTCAGTTATTGTTTCGGAATACTACATTATAAACTAATGTAGACTTCTTCTTTCGACTCTAAATTTGTTTAATATCTAGAATAAAAAATTGGTGGTAGATCATAACCTTCCTAAGCAACTTACCTGCTTGACCAAAGGTAACTAAAAAAAGTCAGGTCTAGAATTAATTTATCTTCCAAAAAAAAAGTACCTTTTATGAAACTGATTTTAGCCTTTTCCTCATTGATTTCTTCGTTTAGTTTGACACAATCAAAAAGAAAAAAAGCAAGCTAAAAAAGCAAACAAAAAAATCACAAGCGATCAATCTGTAACCGAATTTTACAAAAACAAACCACCTGTAACAAATTATATTTATTTAACCGCTTTAAATGTCAACCGCTTCAAAAGCTGTTCAGACATAGATGAATTATATGTCAACAAAAATAATTGATAAAATAGGACCACTTATCCAAACACCGTCTTCCGACACTTTTGAAGCAATGTGCTATTGAGGTAACCAAGCCGGATTTTTTGGACAACGTGTCAAACTGCTTATGAGTTTTGTCAAAATATAAACTTAAATTTTTTTTATCTTATCACTTTAGTCTATTAAAAAAGTTTAGTTTTCCTATTAAAAATCTCAAAAAGAAGTTAGAAATCATTTGAATGTTTAATTTGTTCAAATTATTAGATTAATGTAACTTAATTGGAAAGATAAGCTATGAGAATTAGAAGTTTAGCAGAATAACTGAGCAGATGTTCAGAGTAAGCACAAAAAATCAGTCAATTTGGTAAAAATTTAATCGAAAATACAGTGAAGTAGAGGAGAAATATCAGAAAGTATTCTTTATTCGCAAAAAGTCTTTACTGAAGCGAGCGATCAGTTGGTGGGGAAGTGATTACAACAGTAACAATTAAAAACCTGTTTTTTTTTTTCAATGACCAGATACTGTATTCTAATACTAAAAGTCAAGGTAAGCTCAATGATCTCTGAAATAATGATTTAAGCGTACAGTTTTATCAGAAACCATATTTTCTTTGTTGATCTGTAAAATAACTATTTTTGGTATGTCTACTGTGCTTAACAAAAACAGATATTTAACTATCAAATCAGCAAAAGGTTTCAGTAATCAAAGACGCAGTCATAATTTAGACGAAAGCTTTCAAAATTTCTGAACTGTAAAGGTGTCATTCAGCAGTCTAAATATAAGTGTCTTTCAATTTAACTGTACAGTAATTAAATTATAAAGTTAAAAAATTTATCTGCTATGACAGACTCGATTTTTCTAAGACTTTAATTTTTTTAGACATGAAACCAATAATGAACGATGAATCAGAAGACAATTTGTGAAATTTTTATTAAGACGTTTTCAGAGCTCATTTTTTTAATGCCGACTTCATATTACTAATTAGACGATAATTGGAAAATAAAATTTTCTTGAGAAATGAAAAAAGTGCTTAGTTAATTTAAATTTATTGTTATTCTTTCTTGATAACCGATCGTATTTTGCCGCATTGTACAATAACTCTGCAGTGAATTCAAACTGGAAGCATTCAGTAGGCAAAGCTCTGTTTAATAAGCTTGAATTTGTTGTCCAGAACCTCGACGTTATAATTCTCTCTAAAGAATGAGATATGAAAGTAGAGCAGTAAAAACTACCTCTTTTATTGCCATAATGTGTTTGAAAAATATATTTAAAAAACTTGTAATAAAGTTACTCAAAATAAGCAAAAAAAAAAAAGAAAACAAAACTATTGTTTCCTGTAAACTCGCTAAACTTTTTTAAAACAAAAGATAATTACGTCTGTAAAGCAGTAATCTGCAGTGCACTGAGAATACAATGCTTGAATTCCCGTCCGTTCGTATTCACACCCAAACCAAGATGAGGGAATCCCACACTTCTTAAAAACCGCTTGGAAACACGACATTGCCGTGGCAGCGTAGCTAAATAGAGTGGAAAGTAGACCAATTTCAAAGGCGTAAAACTGATAAATTCGGAAAAGCATAAAAAAGAGTAGTTCAACTCACTTGCATGTTTCGTATGGATCATTTTGCACTGCAGTGTTGAACTCAGTACTGCATGCTTTTATTGTTTCACTGTTTGAGGTGAAAGTTTCGCCAATGCAAGTTCCATATTCAAGTAGAACTAAAACATTATTGTTTTTGATAATTCGAAGAATAGAAGCTAAAAACTGAGGTAGATCAAAACCAGTATTTTCATTTCTAACATTTTTGCACATTCATTTTATTCTTCTGAAAAAGTTTTTATCAGAAAAGTGTTAAAATTTTAAATGCTTAGTAACCTGCAATTACAAACAGCATCGCAAGAAAACATTAAAAAGCATAAAGCTGTTATCAAATAAAAGTATGCAAAGTTTTAAAAACCATGACAACTTTTAAAAATAAAACTTGAATTGACGATTACTCGAAAACCCAGCTCCGCATGCGTACTCTAACTGGGCAATCATCATGACGTACCCAGTCGCCTGTTCTTTTGTAAACTTTCTCTGAAACTGGTTTTCATCCAAAAGTAATCCTAATACTCGCTCCGTACACGCTTGATAAATCTGATATGCTTTAGCACTTTCATCAGATGAAAAACAGCTCTTATACCGTTGGAAGGCACTACAAATCACAAACCGTATTACCGTTTTCAAATCTACTACAGTTTATCACAGCTTGTTTGCGATTAAAAAGTTTAAAAATTTAGATGGCCGGTGAGTGCCAATACAGCAGTTAAATTAAAAAAAAGTTTTCTTGTAGATAGTGTACAGGGTTTTTCAGCATCAAAATTTAGAGAATCATATTCATTTAAACTTTAAACATCAATTATGTGACTTGCATACCTGCAAAGTTTTTGAATATTCGAATCCCGTCCTGACATAAACTGTTTTTCTATTGCATCACGAAACAGAGTGGTTTGTATCCAAGTACCTGTATTAAAAACGCTTTTCTACGATAAACCTTACTTAAACTAAACTTTTCAGAAAATGGGATGTTAACTGATGTTTTTCGTGAATAAAATGGTAATGCAGTAATGATACCTGAACTTCCAAGTCGCTTCATGAAGTCATCATGACAAACGTTTAATTGCGTGATATTACAAGAAACAAAATTATTTTGAGCGTTAGCATAAAATCCTAAATTCCACTTTTTTCAAACCCATAGAGTTAAATTTGACAAATAAAAAGTGACGCTTTTTAGTTCTTATCACTTAACTTCCAAACAAGGACTAGATAAAAGAAGTGCGAATTTCAAAACAACAGAGATCAATTTGAAAGCAACTCACCAGAAAAGCCAAAAAGTATGAGTATTGACAACATCTCCTATTAAAAGAAATTTATAGATTTAACTCTTTTACAACCAACCAGTCTTTTACAGATTGCCACTACTCAATACATGTCCTGAAAACATATTACTTACTTTGTTTTTTACTCTTCTGACGTCTGCATTAAATTATCTTTACAACCTCCAAAAAGAATAGCAACAGAACTCGCAAAATTTTTTAAGATAAAACACATGCGAACAAATAAACATACTGTTACATAAAAAAAATTTTTTTTTTCTATTTAACAAACCTGTAAAAAATCAAAAAAAATTTGGTCGTTGCAGCTGTGAGTATCACAAGATAATTACCAAGATTTCATTGATAACCAAAAATGGCCGGTGTAGACAGAATCGTCTCTGCCTAATGTCACTCTCAATTAAACCACTTAAAAATAAACAAATTCAACAGATAAACCTTAAAGACTTCATCAATTGCAGAACCTTCAGAACAATCGTTATTTTGAAATATTTTGAGAAATCAGTTCTTAACTAATTCAGTTAAGAAGAAAAAAAACTTAAAGCAACATAAAAAGTTTCACTAAAATGATCAAAATTGTCAATTTTTAGATGTTATGGAAGTATACTAAAAATATGTGAATAAGTAACATAAGAAAAAAAAAGCAGAACATTCCTTTCATAATAAACCAATATGAAACTTCCATAGTTGTCTAATTTGATATGGTTACCAACTCCGTCCGTCCAATCTCTGATTTTCCAGCTCCAGTGTCAGACTCTTACAGAAACGACACTTTTCACATTGACAAAATCCAAACTACTCAGATAGCATAATATAATTTGTTTTGAAACAGCAAAGTTTTATTTGTTTTTTCACTAAAAAATGTATAATTTTTCTAACATATAAGTACCATTCTTCCCCATTACTCCTACACGATAAAAAAACCAGTTAATTCCTCTCAGTGAAACAACTTAGAGAACTACCAGGAAGCTTCTGCTGGAAACTCAATGTCAGACGCTCTGAAAATAAATTGTTTATTTATTAGTTGTTAGTACCGCTCAAAACTCCCACCCCGTTTTCAAAGTTTTTTTCCATTTCCCTCATCAACATCTGTTTACATCTATACAGCTGATTTTCTACTACAAAAACTATTATTCCTCACTTCAGATATAATCTAAATTGCGGGTAAACCACACAAACTCCATGAACAATTATACTTTCAAAATC